TTAATCCGCTTGACCATCACGACCGGACATAAGGAAGTGATAGCCGAGGCTATATGAACCACTTCCCCGCCGGCACTCGGATGGTAATCTTGGGCATAGCATTTTATCAAATCACCTCATTCTTTGGGGCACACGTGAGGAACACAAATGCAAACAAGCCTGAATGGTCCCCAGGACTATATACAACTGAAAACTCACACCCCAGAAGTGACTCGAACCCATACTCCCACAACTGGTATGTACAGGGACGCCTTAATCCGCTTGACCATCACGACCGGACATAAGGAAGTGATAGCCGAGGCTATATGAACCACTTCCCCGCCGGCACTCGGATGGTAATCTTGGGCATAGCATTTTATCAAATCACCTCATTCTTTGGGGCACACGTGAGGAACACAAATGCAAACAAGCCTGAATGGTCCCCAGGACTATATACAACTGAAAACTCACACCCCAGAAGTGACTCGAACCCATACTCCCACAACTGGTATGTACAGGGACGCCTTAATCCGCTTGACCATCACGACCGGACATAAGGAAGTGATAGCCGAGGCTATATGAACCACTTCCCCGCCGGCACTCGGATGGTAATCTGATTTGATAAAAATGCTATGCCCAAGATTACCATCCGAGTGCCGGCGGGGAAGTGGTTCATATAGCCTCGGCTATCACTTCCTTATGTCCGGTCGTGATGGTCAAGCGGATTAAGGCGTCCCTGTACATACCAGTTGTGGGAGTATGGGTTCGAGTCACTTCTGGGTGTGAGTTTTCAGTTGTATATAGTCCTGGGGACCATTCAGGCTTGTTTGCATTTGTGTTCCTCACGTGTGCCCCAAAGAATGAGGTGATTTGATAAAATGCTATGCCCAAGATTACCATCCGAGTGCCGGCGGGGAAGTGGTTCATATAGCCTCGGCTATCACTTCCTTATGTCCGGTCGTGATGGTCAAGCGGATTAAGGCGTCCCTGTACATACCAGTTGTGGGAGTATGGGTTCGAGTCACTTCTGGGGTGTGAGTTTTCAGTTGTATATAGTCCTGGGACCATTCAGGCTTGTTTGCATTTGTGTTCCTCACGTGTGCCCCAAAGAATGAGGTGATTTGATAAAATGCTATGCCCAAGATTACCATCCGAGTGCCGGCGGGGAAGTGGTTCATATAGCCTCGGCTATCACTTCCTTATGTCCGGTCGTGATGGTCAAGCGGATTAAGGCGTCCCTGTACATACCAGTTGTGGGAGTATGGGTTCGAGTCACTTCTGGGGTGTGAGTTTTCAGTTGTATATAGTCCTGGGGACCATTCAGGCTTGTTTGCATTTGTGTTCCTCACGTGTGCCCCAAAGAATGAGGTGATTTGATAAAATGCTATGCCCAAGATTACCATCCGAGTGCCGGCGGGAAGTGGTTCATATAGCCTCGGCTATCACTTCCTTATGTCCGGTCGTGATGGTCAAGCGGATTAAGGCGTCCCTGTACATACCAGTTGTGGAGTATGGGTTCGAGTCACTTCTGGGGTGTGAGTTTTTCAGTTATATATAATATAATATATATATATATATATATATATATATATCCAAGCGAGCAGTGTGTAAATAATCTAGATATTGATATTGGGGTGTTGTTTGCTGGGTCGACAAGTGGACCAGGGCTCCGGGGTCGGCCTGGCCCGCCGTGAGGGGCCCGGGGTCGGCCTGGCCCGTCGTGAGGGCCCCGGGGTCGGCCTGGCCCGTCGTGAGGGCCCCGGGGTCGGCCTGGCCCGTCGTGAGGGGCCCCGGGGTCGGCCTGGCCCGTCGTGAGGGCCCCGGGGTCGGCCTGGCCCGTCGTGAGGGCCCCGGGGTCGGCCTGGCCCGGCGTGAGGGCCCCGGGGTCGGCCTGGCCCGTCGTGAGGGGCCCCGGGGTCGGCCTGGCCCGTCGTGAGGGGCCCCGGGGTCGGCCTGGCCCGTCGTGAGAGCCCCGGGGTCGGCCTGGCCCGTCGTGAGGGGCCCCGGGGTCGGCCTGGCCCGTCGTGAGGGCCCCGAGGTCGGCCTGGCCCGTCGTGAGGGGCCCCGGGGTCGGCCTGGCCCGTCGTGAGGGGCCCCGGGGTCGGCCTGGCCCGTCGTGAGGGCCCCGAGGTCGGCCTGGCCCGTCGTGAGGGCCCCGGGGTCGGCCTGGCCCGTCGTGAGGGCCCCGGGGTCGGCCTGGCCCGTCGTGAGGGCCCCGGGGTCGGCCTGGCCCGGCGCGAGGGGCCAGGCTTCCTACATGGGAAAATTACCACACATTGTTCTCTCTACAGAATGGAAGCCCCGGTGTGGCGGAGGGAGGAGCGCTCTGGTGGTGATGGTTAAGGGGAGAGAGAGGGAAGGGGAAGGGGAAGAGAGAAGGGGGAAAGGGAAAGGGGAGAGGGTTGTCCCCTTCACAGCATAGTGCCTCACTTGACCTGTCCCATATGACACCTTAGAGCTGTAGCTGACCTTCCTCAGTGACCTCACAGAGGAAGAGACACAAACATTTACACCTGCAGAGAGAATTGTAATCTAGGCCCTGAGAGAGAGAGAGCTGAGACAGTTTTCTCAGAAGAAAGAGCCCAAGACTGTTGTTTTACCCGCCTCTAGAGGTATATACCTCTAGCGGTATACCTCTGTCGGTATACCTCTGCCGGTATACCTGAGCAGGTGTAGGTCTGTGGTGAGGACAGCAGACTCTAACTGGTCCACTTGGGTGATATAATTAATTTATTAAAATTCATTTATCACTCTTGAAAAAGAATAGCATTTAAGTAATAATGTGAGACTTGGGAGTCGCTTTTGGTCTTGTATATCTAATGGTTTTTTCTCGATTTATAATGATGATGGCAGTACATATATGTTTATCACATATGTTTTATCACATATATGTTTTATCAGCACACATATTGTTACACATGTTGGACTCTGTCACAAAATAAAACATTTGGACAAAGATTAGCAATTTGGGGGTGAATTTTAACATTCTAAAATTTGATTGTTAATTTTTTTTTTAAATATAAATTTTTGTAAGTGGTATACAGTACGTTATTTTAGTGATCTATTGTATTAATAGACGTTGGATGTATTTAGCTGCGTGGTGTATGAGTCGGTTGGTGTCAATCACGCTCCCCTTCTCATCATCTCCCACATACGGGCTCACCATAGCCCGTGCTGCTTGGAACTGTTTGTTCCAAGTAGCGAATTATTAACAACAACAACATCTCCCACACCAAAATAAATGTAAGAGTTTCCCCTTAACTAGAAAGTTAGGAACACAAGCGAGCCATTAAACTATCGAGACCAATGTATAGAAAACGGCAGTGTTGTGGCGCTTATTAACTTATATTAATGCAGCTTTTTTGGGGTAAACGGATTGGTTGATTTGGTTAAAAATGCGACGTATTAGGTGAGAGGACGAGTTTGTTAAAGGGGGTTTTTGATTATTATTTCTAAATAGATTTGTAGGTTCTCGACGCTTCATTGGTCGGGATTGTGGCCCCTTTCCACAGCCCTCTCACCCCCTCTCCCTCACTCCCTCCCAGCCTTCCTGGCTCCCTCCCAGCCTCCCTCACTCCCTCCCAGCCTCCCTTATCCCTCTCCTTAATCTGGCCAAAACAATGAGGAGTATTCATATGTGCTGAGAATAAATCCCAGCAATGAGGCGGGTCTCGGGCAGGCCTGGCGGCCCGGGCCCTCACCGCCCATTGTTTACAAACAAACGAGGCAACGCGCTGAATCCGGATTCTGGAGGATTGGTGATAGTTTTTATATAATTTTTTATTTTATTTTTTTTTTTTTTGCCCGCTGACGGGATGCGAAAACGGGTCTAACCAGCTCACTTCAGCCCCTGCGTGGAAGATGTAGCCCAAAATGGTGTCAGAATCGCGCCAGAGACGCGACCGTGCATGGATGTGTTGTGTTAATCCCCTCAACTGTGGGTGAACATGTAGGCTAGATAGCATCCGCGTTTTTGTGTTTAAATCCGGATTTATAAAGGTGGAAAACGATGGCAATGTTGTAAAGTGGTAGCCCTGAGAGAGAGAGAGAGAGAGAGAGAGAGAGAGAGAGAGAGAGAGAGAGAGAGAGAGAGAGAGAGAGAGACGGAGGTAGATAAACAGAGATAAAGGGGTCTCGGTAGTAGAGTGGGATTCGTTCACAACTCATAATCTGGAATACACCATGAAGGAGAATAAAACATTGTGATGGTAGATCTTTTACGTTTTCTATGATACACGTTTCAGCGTTGACTACTGTATTTAGTCAACGTTTTCTTTTCTGTTTTCCATATTATATATATTTTTGACATTATCTCACCGTTCTTTAACTGGTACCACCCACACACTGTGGTACTGCAGGGTGTGGTGGTACCAGTTACTAGTGGTAGCTGTTACTAGTATCCCTGGTACTAGGAACTCCCTTAGTTAACACCCCCCACCCCAGTAATCCCACAGGTACCACCTCTCACCCGGTACTCTCCCCCGCACACAGGTACCACCTCTCACCCGGTACTCCCCCCCGCCCCACAGGTACCACCTCTCACCCGGTACTCCCCCCTCCCACACAGGTACCACCTCTCACCCGGTACTCCCCCCCCCCACAGGTACCACCTCTCACCCGGTACTCTCCCCCCCCCCACACAGGTACCACCTCTCACCCGGTACTCCCCCCCCACACAGGTACCACCTCTCACCCGGTACTCCACCCCCACACAGGTACCACCTCTCACCCGGTACTCCCCCCCGCCCCACACAGGTACCACCTCTCTCCCGGTACTCCACCCCCCCCACAGGTACCACCTCTCACCCGGTACTCTCCCCCTCCCCCCACAGGTACCACCTCTCACCCGGTACTCTCCCCCTCCCCACACAGGTACCACCTCTCACCCGGTACTCTCCTCCTCCACAGGTACCACCTCTCACCCGGTACTCCCCCCCCCCCACAGGTACCACCTCTCACCCGGTACTCTCCCCCGCCCCACACAGGTACCACCTCTCACCCGGTACTCTCCTCCTCCACAGGTACCAGTGCTTCGTGTACAAGTCTTGGGACAACAACACTGCCTCCGGTATAATGATGGCCCAGAGTGGGGACGCCACCTGCAATGGTCTCTACTCCGTGACGGGGGGCTCCATGACCCTCGTTCTCAGGAGAGGTGGGTTTCTACTCTTGGAGAACCTCGGTTTCTACCGCTGGTGGCTTGGTTAGGGGTTTCAGTGCTCGAGGAGGCTGGATTTAACGAGATTTTTTACGGTTTCTTATTCGCATTTTTTGTCTTATTTGGTTTCTATGATAGATTTTATGTTCTGTGTGGATTCTATTACTCTCTCTCTCGTTTCTCTGCGGTTTCTGTCAGGTATGGTTTTCGGTGGGGTTTTTAAGAGGTTCTGTTTGGTGTGGTTTCTAATACGCTCCGTTTTTCTGTGTAGATTCTATCAGATTCTATGTTGTGTGTGTGTGGTTTTTTTTAGCAAGCTCTGTGGTCTGTGTGGTTTCTACTAGCCTCTGTTTTATGTGTGTGGTTTCTACTAGCCTCTGTTTTATGTGTGTGGTTTCTACTAGCCTCTGTTTTATGTGTGTGGTTTCTACTAGCCTCTGTTTTATGTGTGTGGTTTCTACCAGGATTCATTTTCTGTGTGATTTTCCATGAAGTTTCATGTTGTGGGGTTTCTACTCAACTCTGTGTTCTGTATGGGTTCGAGCTGGCTCAGTTTTCTGTGTTTTCTATCATGCTCCGTTTTCTGTGTTTTCTATCATGCTCCGTTTTCTACGTGGTTTCTTTCAGTCTCCGTTGTTTGTGAGTTCTTTCAGGATACATTTTCTGTGTTTTCTACCATACTTCGTTTTCTATGGGGTTTCTACCAGGTTCCATTTCAAATGACTGTACAAATGGAAAGTTTCGGGTTTTCTGAACTTATTTTTAATATTCCTTTTTTATTCACAAGGGACAAGTTTAAGGTTATCATGTAAATACCTGTGTGGTGGTTGTGTGGTGGTTGTGTGGTGGTTGTGTGGTGGTTGTGTGGTGGTTGTGTGGTAGTTATATACAGGTTGTGTAAAGGTTGTGTGGAGGTTGTGTAAAGGTTGTGTAGAGGTTGCCTAAAGGTTGTGTAAAGGTTGTGCAGAGGTTGTGTAAAGGTTGTGTAGAGGTTGCATACAGGTTGTGTAGAGGTTGTTTAAACGTTGCGCAGAGGTTGTGTAGAGGTTGCCTAAAGGTTGTGTAAAGGTAGCGCAGAGGTTGTGTAAAAGTTGTGTAGAGGTTGCATACAGGTTGTGTAGAGGTTACCTAAAGGTGTGTAGAGGTTGCATACAGGTTGCATAGAGGTTGTATAGTGGTTATAATAACGTGATAGTGAGCTCACATGAGAGCAGACGGTACACTAACCCACATGTCCCCCCCTTCCCTCCTCGTCGACAGTGGACACGAGCGGTAGCAAGTGCAGGTTCCCCGTGTGGTCCAACGGGCCCAAGTGGAGGTCCCTGGACGGCCACACCACCCTGGACGTGAACCGCCACAACTCCACCCTCAAGCTCACCAGTCACGCCCACAGCGGCCCCGTCACTCACGCCTGTCTCGAACCCTTCGCCCACACCAAGCACTCCGCCACCTACGTCACCAGGGTCATATATGGATGGTGAGCCGGCCACCCAGGGGCAACTGTTAGATACGGACGGAGCGAGAGTGAGATGGGCGGAAATGTGTGTGTGAGAGAGAGAGAGAGAGAGAGAGAGAGAGAGAGAGAGAGAGAGAGAGAGAGAGAGAGAGAGAGAGAGAGAGAGAGAGAGAGAGAGAGAGAGAGAGTGAGAGAGAGAGAGAGATGAGAGAGAGAGAGAGAGAGAGAGAGAGAGAGAGAGAGAGAGAGAGAGAGAGAGAGAGAGAGAGAGAGAGAGAGAGAGTGCTTAACGACCCTGTTCCTTATATAAGCTCACTGACCAATTATAATCAATTATATTGTTACAATCACTAATATACCTTATGGTGCTGGTGTTAAGAGCCAGCACCGCACCATCACAGTAACGGTGTACCACTATACACCAATATAGTGAGTGTGTGTGTGTGTGGTAGGACGAGTAGTGTTAACACCAGCGTCCCTTCTCTCTCTCCCCCTCACAGCACCTCGGGTTACCAGTGCGTCCACATGCTGGCCCGCGACGACCATGTCTTGGAGATTATCATGGGTGAGTCTCTTCCCCCACACTCTCCTCTACCCTCCTTCCTTCACTGGTGTCTCTTCTGTCTTCTTCCTTCACTGGTGTCCTCTCTTCTGCCTCCTTCCTTCACTGGTGTCTCTTTCCTTCACTGGTGTCTCTTTCCTTCACTGGTGTCTCTTCTGCCTTCTTCCTTCACTGGTGTCTCTTCTGCCTCCTTCCTTCACTGGTGTCTCTTCTGCCTCCTTCCTCCACTGGTGTCTCTTCTGCCTCCTTCCTCCACTGGTGTCTCTTCTGCCTCCTTCCTCCACTGGTGTCTCTTCTGCCTCCTTCCTTCACTGGTGTCTCTTCTGCCTTCTTCCTTCACTGGTGTCTCTTCTGCCTTCTTCCTTCACTGGTGTCTCTTCTGCCTCCTTCCTTCACTGGTGTCTCCTTCCTTCAATGATGTCTCTTCTGCCTCCGGTGCTGACTATACTACCACCAGTACTCCATCTCCACAATTGTCTCTTCCTTCAACACAACAATTACAACCACAACTACCACCACTACCACTACTACCACTACTACCACTACTACCACCACTACCACTACTACCACTACTACCACTACTACCACTACTACCACTACTACCACCACTACCACTACTACCACTACTACCACTACTACCACTACTACCACCTCTACCACTACTACCACTACTACCACCACTACCACTACTACCACTACTACCACTACTACCACCACTACCACTACTACCACTACTACCACTACTACCACTACTACCACTACTACCACCACTACCACTACTACCACTACTACCACTACTACCACTACTACCACTACTACCACTACTACCACTACTACCACCACTACCACTACTACCACTACTACCACTACTACCACTACTACCACTACTACCACTACTACCACCACTACCACTACTACCACTACTACCACTACTACCACTACTACCACTACTACCACCACTACCACTACTACCACTACTTACCACTACCCCTTCTACTATCACTACTACCACTACTACCACTACTACCCACTACTACCACCACTACCACTACTACCACTACTTACACTACTACCACTACTACCACCACTACCACTACTACCACTACTACCACCACTACCACTACTACCACTACTTACACTACCCCTTCTACTATCACTACTACCACTACTACCACTACTACCACTACTACCACCACTACCACTACTACCACTACTACCACCACTACCACTACTACCACTACTACCACCACTACCACTACTACCACTACTTACACTACCCCTTCTACTATCACTACTACCACTACTACCACTACTACCACTACTACCACCACTACCACTACTACCACTACTTACACTACTACCACTACTACCACCACTACCACTACTACCACTACTTACACTACCCCTTCTACTATCACTACTACCACTACTACCACCACTACCACTACTACCACCACTACCACTACTATCACCACTACCACTACTACCACTACTACCACCACTACCACTACTACCACTACTTACACTACCCCTTCTACTATCACTACTATTACCTCTGGTACTGGTGTGTTGAGTTGTACTAAGTGGTAGAAGCATGGAGGAGCTGCCTGCAGGAACGAGTGACAGGAGATGATAAGACAGAATAAGGAGCATCTTAGTGACACAAAAAACTGAAGGAGAGAGGCAAGAAAATAGGATAATTAATGTTTAGTAGAAAGTGTGTCAGCAAATATATTAAACTTAAAAACATATTAGAGAATGAAGAGTTAAGATAAGTGAACAAAATCTCTGAGAGACAGACAGAGAGAGAGAGAGAGAGAGAGAGAGGAGAGAGAGAGAGAGAGAGAGGAGGGTTGAGAGGGTGTAGCCCGGAGGGAGGCCCATCCCCTATCCCGAGAGCTAGCACGGAGTTGTACCAGAGAGAGAGAGAGAGAGAGAGAGACCCCCCTGAGTGAGTGAGTGAGAGGACGATAGAGAGACCTGCCCTCTCACTACCCCTTGTCCTGGGTGTACTTGACCTCTAATGACCCCAGAACCCCCTTAAACAACCCACTACCCCCCCCTCCTACCGGCCGACCCCTGCTGACCTCGTGTTGACCTCCACAGGTAAGGTCACTCCGGTGGCCGTGGCTGCCTGCTCCCCGCAGTACTTCGACATCTCCTCCAACAACTTCACCACCTTCGTCAGTGAGTATTACCTCCCATAGTATTACCTCCCATAGTATTACCTCCCATAGTATTACCTCCCATAGTATTACCTCCCATAGTATTACCTCCCATAGTATTACCTCCCATAGTATTACCTCCCATAGTGAGTATTACCTCCATAGTATTACCTCCCATAGTATTACCTCCCATAGTATTACCTCCCATAGTATTACCTCCCATAGTGAGTATTACCTCCTTCAGAGGGTATTATCTTCCTGAGTGAGTTTAACCTCCTTCAGTGAGTATTGAACCATGACAACACAGCGGGTTGAACACACACACACACCCACACACACACACACACACACACACACCATGACACACACACACACACACACACACACACACACACACACACACACACACACACACACACACACACACACACACACACACACACACACACACACACACACACACACACACACATGAGAAGGATTAAGACAGAGGAGGACAGCTTGAGGCTTCAAGAAGACCTGGACAAGCTGCAGGAATGGTCGAACAAATGGTTGTTAGAGTTTAACCCAAGCAAATGTAATGTAATGAAGATAGATGTAGGGAGCAGGAGACCAGATACAAGGTATCATTTGGGAGATGAAATACTTCAAGAGTCTAAGAAAGAGAGAAAGACCTGGGGGTTGATATCACGCCAGACCTGTCCCCTGAAGCTCATATCAAGAGGATAACATCAGCGGCATATGCCAGGTTGGCTAACATAAGAACGGCCTTTAGAAACTTGTGTAAGGAATCTTCAGAACTTTGTATACCACATATGTCAGACCAATCCTGGAGTATGCGGCTCCAGCATGGAGTCCATATCTAGTCAAGCATAAGACTAAACTGGAAAAGGTTCAAAGGTTTGCCACCAGACTAGTACCCGAACTGAGGGGTATGAGCTACGAGGAGAGACTACGGGAATTAAACCTCACGTCACTGGGAGACAGAAGAGTTAGAGGGGACATGATCACCACATACAAGATTCTCAGAGGAATTGATAGGGTAGATAAAGACAGACTTTTTAACACAAGAGGCACACGCACTAGGGGACACAGGTGGAAATTGAGTGCCCAAATGAGCCATAGAGACGTTAGAAAGAATTTTTTCAGTGTCAGAGTAGTAGACAAATGGAATGCATTAGGAAGTGATGTGGTGGAGGCTGACTCCATACACAGTTTCAAGTGTAGATATGATAGAGCCCAGTAGGCTCAGGAACCTGTACACCAGTTGATTGACAGTTGAGAGGCGGGACCAAAGAGCCAGAGCTCAACCCCCGCAAGCACAACAAGTTCCTGGACATTCTCAAGTCGACAACGACTTGAGAATGGTCCAGGACGGACCGAAACGTCGTCGTCTCTTCACCTTCTAGTGTGTGGTCTGGTCAACTCTTAAGAACCTTTCCTCTTCCCCCCTGACACAGGAAGCACGGCTGAGAGCCGACAGTGCCCGGGAACGGGGCGTTACGAGGTGGTTGGCGGCGGCAGCGTCGGTGTGGACATCCGGGCCTCCGCGGTGGCGTCCACGTCGCGGAGTGGCGGCGGCGGTAGCGGGGGCAGTGTGGCAGGCGGGGGCGGGCTGGGTGTCCCTGGCGGGGGCGGCAGCGGCGGCGAGCTCATCCCTGGCCACCACAGCTCCGAGTGTGAGGACCTGCCCTACACCTCCCTCTCCGTCGGCTGCTCCACCACCGACACCCTCGTCATCAGTAACCGCTGCTCCTCTGCAGGTAAGGTCGTCTCGCCCCGCCACACTGCTCCATTGTTTATGTCTCACGCTACTCTCATCTCACTCATCTTCACACCCTCTGCTCTACGACAGCTTTTCGTTATCTTTTGTAGACCTGCTTCCGTAAACACGGACACACGGAAGAGAGAGAGAGAGAGAGAGAGAGAGGGGGAGAAAGGAGAGGAGAGAGAGAAGAGAGGAGACTGAGGAGAGATGAGAGATGAGAGAGAGAGAGAAGAGAAGAGAGAGGAGGATTATGTCTCACACTTTATATGTATGAAGTATTAATTTAGCAAGAGTGGTGCCATTGTTGAATTGTGGAGTGTTAGCTGCTTGTTCGAGACTTCATTGACCTCTCCTAGACCTCACTGACCTCTGATAGACGTCATTGACCTCTCCTAGCCCTCACTGACCTCTGATAGACGTCATTGACCTCTCCTAGCCCTCACTGACCTCTGATAGACGTCATTGACCTCTCCTAGCCCTCACTGACCTCTGATAGACGTCATTGACCTCTCCTAGCCCTCACTGACCTCTGATAGACGTCATTGACCTCTCCTAGATTTTATTGACCTCTTCTAGACGTCATCTACATAGAGAGTCCTTCTTCCAGCGTGGTCCTCTTCTCTGGACTCTGGTTATGTAGGCCCGCCTCTTGTAGCTCCTCCTCTGTAGGCCCGCCTCTTGAAGTTCCTCCTTTGTAGGCCCAAGCGTCAGTTCCTCTGTAGAGTGGTGACCACGATCATGTTAGCTGACAGTAGGCCGGCCTGAGGTAATACACTAACTATAGGCCTTCAGATTGAAGTTCCTCTCACAAGGGCCGCTGACGAGGATCATCGAACCTAGGCCGCTCCGGGAGTTCATCCCTTGTAACCGCCTCTTGTTCATCTCTGATGCAGGCACGCCTAGTGAAGATCTGTGTGTGTGTAACTATCTTGTACCTTATACATTCAAATTACGTATAAGAGAGAGAGAGAGAGAGAGAGAGAGAGAGAGAGATGAGCAGGAGAGAGGTGAGAGACGATCATGAGAGCTGAGAGAGAGAGGATGAGAGAATACACTAACTATCCTACAGATGAGAGAGATTCGAGAGAGAGAGATGCATCACGTTAGTGTGATCTGTGTGTGTGTAACTATCCTTCAGTTCTACATTCAAATTACGTATAAGAAGAGAGAGAGAGAGAGAGAGAGAGAGAGAGAGAGAGAGAGAGAGAGAGAAAGAAAAAAAAGCCTGTTTGGTGAATACTCCGCATGTCAATGTTTACCATTTGACGCTGGAGGATCTCTGTAGCCCTTATGGCTCAGGGAGGGAGCAAGCCAGGGCTGAGTGGCTGTAAAGTTAATTTTAACGAGAAATACGACAGTTTAGAGTTGCTGTAGTGTGTTAAGGCAGGCGACCCAACGACTGTGTGTGTGTGTGTGTGTGTGTGTGTGTGTGTGTGTGTGTGTGTGTGTGTGTGTGTGTGTGTGTGTGTGTGTGTGTGTGTGTGTGTGTGTGTGTGTGTGTGTGTGTGTGTGTGTGTGTGAGCCTTGCTTAGCGGACTTGCTTGCTGCTTCCTCGCTGTTTTATTTCCATATAACACAAGCAATTCACTGTTTTATTTTCACATTAAAGTTGTTTAGTGATAAAGATTATAGCTGCAAGTGCTTGTTTATATATATATATATATATATATATATATATATATATATATATATATATATATATATATATATATATATATATTATATATATATATATCAAATAATTTGTACATAAATTGTTGAAATGGGCAGAACATATTAGGAGCCACTGCACAGTGTGCAATATGTACACTCATCCACACACCCAGGTACCCCTGTACCCCCAGGTACACACCCAGGTACCCCTGTACCCCCAGGTACACACCCAGGGACCCCTGTACCCCCAGGTACACACCCAGGGACCCCTGTACCCCCAGGTACACACCCAGGTACCCCTGTACTCCCCAGGTACACACCCAGGGACCCCTGTACACCCAGTACACACCCAGGGACCCCTGTACCCCCAGGTACACACCCAGGGACCCCTGTACCCCCAGGTACACACCCAGGGACCCCTGTACACCCAGCCACACCCAGGGACCCCTGTACCCCCAGGTACACACCCAGGGACCCCTGTACACCCAGGTACACACCCAGGGACCCCTGTACACCCAGGTACACACCCAGGGACCCCTGTACACCCAGCCACACCCAGGGACCCCTGTACCCCCAGGGACCCCTGTACTCCCCAGGTACACACCCAGGTACCCCTGTACACCCAGGTACACACCCAGGGACCCCTGTACCCCCAGGTACACACCCAGGGACCCCTGTACCCCCAGGTACACACCCAGGTACCCCTGTACCCCCAGGTACACACCCAGGGACTCCTGTACTCCCCAGGTACACACACAGGTACACACCCAGGGACCCCTGTACACTCAGGTATACACCCAGGGACCTCTGTACACCCAGCCACACCCAGGGACCCCTGTACCCCCAGGTACACACCCAGGGACCCCTGTACCCCCAGGTACACACCCAGGGACCCCTGTACACCCAGGTACACACCCAGGGACCCCTGTACACCCAGCCACACCCAGGGACCCCTGTACACCCAGGTACACACCCAGGGACCCCTGTACCCCCAGGTACACACCCAGGGACCCCTGTACACCCAGGTACACACCCAGGTACACACCCAGGGACCCCTGTACCCCCAGGTACACACCCAGGGACCCCTGTACCCCCAGCCACACCCCCGCACTAAGAGCCGCGCCCCTCCACAGAGTACTCGTGTCACGGCTGGTGGGAGGAGGGCGGGCGGCAGTACCTGGTAGTGACGCCCATCTCACGCAGCAGTAAGGGCTTCCGCCACCTGTGTCTGGTGCTGGACCACGGCTCCGGCGTCCTCTCCCTGGCCTCCTCCACCCTCTCCTGCGGCAGGGACCTCACCCCAGGCCTCCACGGCCACATCGCCCTCAACACCACCAGTGTTGGTCAGTATACCTACCTCTCTGTCTCTGTCTCTCTCTCTCTCTCTCTCTCTGTCTCTCTCTCTCTCTCTCTCTCTCTCTCTCTCTTCTCTCTCTCTCCCTGTCTCTCTCTCTCTTTCTCTTGTCTCTCTCTCTCTCTCTCTCTCTCTCTCTCTCTCTCTCTCTCTCTCTCTCTCTCTCTCTCTCTCTCTCTCTCTCTCTCTCTCTCTCTCTCTCTCTCTCTCTCTCTCTCTCTCTCTCTCTCTCTCTCTCTCTCTCTCTCCCTCTCCCTCTCTCTCTCCTGCTTGTTACCTCCCTTCATACTAGTGTCTCCCTCCTTAATACTTGATTTTACAATTGTTTCGGGGTGATTAGTGTCCTGTATTGTATGCCATACTGTGAGTGTGCTCATGCTGAATTCCAGTAACCATTTCTTGGATGGAATCTGCAGCTTGTGTATGTGTGGAAGTATTCAATTATCTTCTGATTCCCCTCGCTAATATTTCATCCTGTGCAACCCTTGGCAAATAGGACCCCTAGCCTAGACATTTTGGCCTAGACTTTTCCCCTAAGGCCAAACATTGATGTACTAAAAATGGAGCGGTTGGTGAAATTGATGTGATGTCCCGTTCTCTGTAGGTTAGGTTCGGGTTATTTTGTTCCACAGTTTAAGTTAGGTCGGGAACGTTCTGGAGAACGAGCTGCTGTGGTTAGGTCAATGACATAGATGAGGAATAGTTTGGGTCCTTGGACTGATTCTTGGGGAACTGCTATTGTTACCCTCTGTCAGTTGGCCTTCTTGTCCCCCTCACTTTGACTCCTGTCTGTTAGGTACTCTCTCTCTTACTTATTGTAATGCTCTTGTGATTGCTCTCACCTGCTTCTCAAGTTTGAGTATTAATTGTTTATCCTCAACTGTATTAAAAAATTTTTGGAAGACTCTAGAAATATGCAAGATGGCCGCTCCATCTTATTTTATTACCTTATAGTATGACTCCAGTGTGCTAATTATGCGTTGTTTACCTTTAAGGCTGTGTTGATGATTGTTTACAACTCTAATTCTGTCCAGATAGTCTTGAAGTCTCACCTTTACAGTTGTATATAGGGTTAAGTCTCAAGTTGATGCAGGGTATGTTGGTTAGTAGCACTAGTTCACATATCCTCTCTAGCCTCTTTGTTATCTATTGATTCCACATTTGCCATCTTCCAGCTGCTGGGCAATTGTCCCCTGGCTAATAAATAATTGAAGGTCAGTGCTGGAGGTACGGTGAGGGCGTGTGCAGCCTCTTTCAACAACTAAGGGGATACATTGTGTGATCCTGCAGCCCCGTTGCGTCTAGTATCTCTATAGTTGACTCATTACCCTCTCTTAGGCTACCTCTCCTTCACCTCTAGAGCTCCTCCGGCTCTAGCGTCAACACGCCGTGAAGGCTTGCACTAGAGTCTGTAGAAATATTTGGTTACTGTCCTCCTCACCTCTCTGTTGTTAAGGTAGTCACTTGGTCCTTCACGTGACTCTTGCTGGTAATATGGCCATCTTATCTTTAGGTTATCTTTAGATGATTTCAGGGCATTTTAGTGTCCCCGCGGCCCGGTCCTCGACCAGGCCTCCACCCCCAGGAAGCAGCCCGTGACAGCTGACTAACACCCAGGTACCTATTTTACTACTAGGTAACAGGGGCATAGGGTGAAAGAAACTCTGTCCAATGTTTCTCGCCGGCGCCTGGGATCGAACCCAGGACCACAGGATCACAAGTCCAGCGTGCTGTCCGCTCGGCCGACCGGCTCCCTCTATGGAGTAACTTGTAGCTCTTTCTTGCCCCGTGGATGAAATGTCTGTTTTGAGAGGTCTTATTTCCTTGATGTTGCTGTTGGGTTTATATTCACTTCTGCTGCATTGCTCTTCTATTCTTTTTATATTTTTGTGTTTTTATTTTTGTATTTGTATATACAAGAGTTCGTCCAACCACTTGGGGTGGACGGTAGAGCGACGGTCTCGCTTCATGCAGGTCGGCGTTCAATCCCCGACCGTCTACAATAGAATAGGTTAGGTTAGGTTAGGTTACGGTTAGGTTACGGTTAGGTTAGGTTAGGTTATGGTTAGGACGGGGCACCATTCCTTCCCCTGCCCCATCCCATCCCAAATCCTTATCCTATCCCCCTTCCCAGTGCTATATAGTCGTAATGGCTTGGCGCTTTTCCCTGATAATTCTCTTCCTTCATTCTCGTTCATTCTTCTTGCCTTCGTTCATTCTAGTAAAGCCATCAGTGCGCGCAGCCTTTTGGGCTCAATATTTTCTATCCGCCCTCTTCTGTTTTATGCTTGTTGTCATTGTCTATTAACCCTTATGCTCTTTTTTTTTAGAAAATTAATTAAAAAATCTTAGAAACTTACAGAGAAAGTTATGTTAAGTTTGAGAAGAAACAAATGTAGGTTTTCTAGTTTGGTCATTGTGGTGTTGAGAGGGAGAGAGAGAGGGGGGGAATTTATCCCCAGACAAAAATAAAATGACAATAATAAATTAGAATATTCTAAAAATATTTCAAATTAACATATATAACAAAAACAATTCAAAAAATAATTTGTTTCTACTAAGTGGAAATAAAGTACAGTTTAATATTTTCCCAACTTTGGCTCCGGCTCACTGACAAAAGTATTTCCAAAATTAAATAATATATATTTTTATTCATATGAACTTGTATCAAAAAGCATATGTAGATGGCAGGAAAATGACTTAAAACATTTGTTAGGTGCCATAATGTGGGTTCAATGATCAATATAAAGCAGGGTGTGGTTCAGTAGAACTTCGGTTTCAACCCTTTTACCCTGTCGTAGCTCAGTCGATGAAGGCAGTGTCTGGGATGCTCCCAGACGCAGGTTCGAATCCTCGTCACTGCCCTTGTGGATTTGTTTCAGGGTGTGGCTAGTTATATAGTGTGGCTGCCTCGTCCACCATCCTCTACCACATCCCCTACCACATCCCCTACCACATCCCCTCGGGCGTGTTCCTCCCACTCTCCATCCAACCTTGTCCTCTCGAATAATACATCGCATTTTGAAGTCAAAATCTGATTTGTAATTTTGAAGTCAAAATCATAATTTGAAGTCATAATATGATGTCTTATAAAATCATAGCGGCTCGCTAAATTGACCGGCTGTTACTTTCCTGTTCGTGGCTCCATCGGTTAGGTTAGGTTATGGTTAGGTTAGGTTATGGTTAGGTTATGGTTACGGTTAGGTTAGGTTACGGTTAGGTTACGGTTAGGTTAGGTTACGGTTAGGTTAGGTCAGGTTAGGTTAGGTCAGGTTAGGTTAGGTTACGGTTAGGTTAGGTTAGGTTACGGTTAGGTTAGGTTACGGTTAGGTTAGGTTACGGTTAGGTTAGGTTACGGTTACGGTTAGGTTACGGTTAGGTTAGGTTATGGTTAGGTTAGGTTACGGTTAGGTTAGGTTACGATTAGGTTAGGTTAGGTTACGGTTAAGTTAGGTTAGGTTATGGTTAGGTTACAGTGATTCGGGCAGTTTAGTACATTAATTTTGTGAGGTTGGAACAAATCGAGAGGACGGGCTGGTTCATCACTGAATCATCTACTATTTCCGTAGATTCGTGAGGGAAAACCCCTATTATCATCACAAATAATACACAAAAATTACTAATATCATCAAATAATTATTAAATTACATCGGGACCAACCGCGCACGGAGACTAACGTGCTAAAAACGCTCCGAGGCGGGAATAGCAGTGTAAGGGTTAAGACATTGATGGTGATGTTCTCTCGTACATCTGTCTCCTAGTGGTTGCATGTATCTCTTCTCAGCCTTTTGGGCATCTTTATTTGATTTCGTGCATCATTTCTGGATTATTTTCCTGTATGTCTTTATGAAATTAAGTGATAATCACACACACACACCGGAAGACAATTTCTTGCGTTGTGTGTGTGTGTACTCACCTAGTTGTGTTTGCGGGGGTTGAGCTCTGGCTCTTTGGTCCCGCCTCTCAACCGCGTGTGTGTGTGTGTGTGTGTGTGTGTGTGTGTGTGTGTGTGTGTTATTTACTATGTGTACCTTCGATTTGTGTCTGCAGGATCGAGCTGTTAGCTCTTAGACTGCTTGAGTGTGTGTATTAAATAATTACGCTTACACTTGATATTCTAAACCCTTACTAAAAAAAATTATAGGTGTCTTTAACTTTACTGAATATAATTTATGTGGGGTAACATTAATTAAAAGAGTCAATAAGTGTGCTGATGTTAGAACTCTTTTTTTTAAATTTCCGGTTATTGAAGCAAATTTTTTACCTTTATATTTGAACACTGATACCATTAAATTGTCTTTGTTTACCCATAAATTATGCATTTTCTTCTTCATGAAAAAACTTAAAAATATCATGCCGTGTATATTGCTTTTACCCCGTTTTCTTTCTTAGAGCCGCATCAACGTTAGCATAGTTGTCCTTGTTAGCATGCTGTGTCCCGGTGAGAACAATAACACGTGTGAGGATATAACACCTACTTGGGTCTTCCCCTTTACAGGCGGGTGCAGGTCCAGTCCCCCAATAAACGGGGGTTGCAGGCTGGTGCCGTCGGTGTGGGTGCTGCTGGTGGTGACGGCGCTGCTGGCGCTGCTGGCGCCAACGTCAGCGTCGCCCTCTGGCGTGGTGGTGGCGTGGTGGTAACCTTCTCACCGTAGCCGGAGAAATCACACCAGTTCAGTGTGTGTTGTGGAGCGATAATCACAATTACAGTGAAATGGCTGTGCAGGAATCACATTGGCCAAGATCATTGTCCAAGAAGTGAACAATAGGTCTTAGTGAGGCATAGTGATTTATGGAAGAGAAGATAACAAAAAACACTTAGAACTGCTAATAATAATAATTATGTGTATTGAAGTTTAGAGTGATAGTAGCATTACTAGTGTTAATTTCCGTCTGGTAGGTTGGAGAGCCTGTGTGTGTTACCGTAGAACTGCCCTTGTCTACAGCAGGTGTAGCAGCCGACCTGTGTTGATACACTCGACGAATACCAGTCCCGATGGTGTCTCGCTGTCATCATGTACCAAAGATAGGCTTTTAATATACCTGTAGCAAGCCAGGTTCGCAACGAGTCCCAGCACCAATGATGGGCCGCTGGTGGGTTGTGCTCGCCTCCGCCAGGAGCACCGACCCCCCAGCCCACCTCTCGCCCTCGACCTCTTGGGCGTCCTGGAGACTGCGCACCTGACTTGCCTCTCGTGTGACCGTCAGCTCGGGGCCCGGTCCCCTCTCCAACACCCACACGCACACTAATCCAACTCAAATAATTGGCAGTTCAAGCAAATAGTGAAACTATACGAAGCAAAGTTCAGTGAAAGTGTGTGTGTTTTTGTTTGTGTTGGCAGAACTGGAAGGTGGAACCAGGCACTGAGCTGTTCATGAATGGAGTGGTAGTTAGTGAGCTTGTGGTAGTTTGTGGACACTTGAACGAGCCTCTGGGGAGCGTCTGTCGGCCCCAGAAGATCAACACCACTGATACATTGGTGACTTACCACGTGCTAACGACAGGAAGCCATTAAACCTAGTGATTATTAGTGGCAACAAAATGTGACTATGTGTGTGCTCCGTGATGATGCGTGACACTGTTCCTCTACCACTAGACTCTTACCAATCTTGTGTGTCTGCAAATATTATCATGTATGTAAATAAGCTCACTCAAACAAACATGTCTTAACAAATAGTGAACTCAGCGAGAAGCTTATACAGTAAGAGGAATGGTAGGGAGTCTTGAGCGCCTTCAACCATGCGGACGGGATTACGCAAAGAAAAATAAGGATTCTCATAATTATAGTTTTTTCCTTTTTTGGAATTGAACCTCGAGAATTTCCGTATTATAATCCAGTAGAAGCCGTCCGAGGAGCATAGTCGAACACACGCTGAGTGCCCTTTACTGAGCACAACTGGTGCCACTTGCTGACTGTAGATGGCTACCCTGTGTGTCACCAGCCAATAAGAAGCTGCCGTTCCCAGGAGCCCCGCGGTGAGTTTGACTTGGCACCCTGAGAAAGAGCATAGAAAGATACCTTATAAGACGCAAAAGTCTGTGCAGAGTAACCTGGACAATGGTTCCCTGTAGTGAGTTCAGACAGTCTAGTTTGGAGAGACAATTGGTGAGCCCCTGAGCGAGCATGATGGGACGGTCTATTCAATAAGCACGTCTGGGTATCCTGTAAGATATCCAGAATTTGATCGTAACTGTTTGCAAAAAAAGATACGTTACTTCGAACATTCAAATGAGTTGAACTGTCAGAATTAATATTACTGGAACTCTGCAGTGAGCATAGGAAGATGCCCCTGAACAGGCATGAGAGGGTGCCCTTGAGCAAGCATAGAAGGGTGCCCTTGGGCAAGCATAGAAGGGTACCCTTGAGCAAGCATAGAAGGGTGCCCTTGAGCAAGCATAGAAGGGTGCCCTTGAGCAAGCATAGAAGGGTGTGCCCTTGAGCAAGCATAGAAGGGTGTGCCCTTGAGCAAGCATAGAAGGGTGCCCTTGAGCAAGCATAGAAGGGGGGTGCCCTTGAGCAAGCATGTCTGGGAACCGTAGTGTAACTAGGTGCCCCTGAGCGAGCGTGCACCAGAGGCCCGGGAACGAGCACTAGCTAATGCTCCAGAGAGGGTAGGGCAGCGTGACCAGTGATATACATGTGCAGTACGGTGGAGCCACTTATTAATATTTACATGTAGGAGGGTGTTTATGTTTTGAATGCCTGTTTGATAAAGCACTTTTATTAGCTGTGATGCAGAAAGCAAAGCAAGTGATTTCTTTTCATAGTTGAATTATATTATTTGCTCGAGTGTTAACAGGAGCCATGTTTGTGTACAAAAGTAGAGCTTTATCGGACAGAAAGTTTACAACACACACACACACACACACACACACACACACACACACACACACACACACACACACACACACACACACACACACACACACACACACACACACACCTGGTGGAGATGGCGTGTCACAGACTACATGGCTCACTCCAATATCTTGCAGAAATGAATGGATATGAGTGCTTGTTTAAACTGCAAACTTACGAGAGCATTGCAGTGTCACCTTGACGTGGAAGCTGCCCCTGACCAGCATACTGCAGCTGCACAAGGTCACGGGAATGTTGCGTCTGGGGGTTCCTGTGGTAGGCGGGTGCCAAGCACGGGTGAGTCTGTGTATCTGAGGACCCCGTCTGTGGGGACACTTGTGGACCCTCTTCTGTGGAATTTCTATGGACCCCCATATAATGGGACACCTGTGAATCACTTCTGAGGGACTCCTGTGCCTCACATTCGTGGGACATCTGTGGGACACCAGCCCCACCACCTCTGTAATATAAGCAGTGACGATGAACCAAAGTGGCCCTCCAGCAGTTACTCAAGGGACCACTAATGTAGTTGGACATGTGTTTGCTTCTTAAACCAGCTGTTGCCCTGGGTGTCGTGTGCTGAGTGGGTGTACCTAGTGTACCTGCCACACTCGCGCGGGTGTAGACGTGTGTGTATGCCAGCTGAGTACGTGTGAGTATATTACACAAGTTGTTATATGTTATGCAGAGTAGTATAAGCTGTGGATAATGTTAAATGTTGTGGGTGAGACGGGAGGCTCTGGCCGGGTGGAAGGTGGGGGACTTTGGCCTTGACCTAACTTGCTCTATATAGAGTTTTAGTACCTCTCTCTCTCTCTCTCTCTCTCTCTATTAATATTTTTGGTTTTTGGTACTGTGATGAACCGGTTTATCCTTACGTGGTAATGTGTCTACTTATGGTGGGGAGACTAAGACCAACAGCTGCGAGAGTCGGCAACATCTCTCCTGAATACATCACAAAACATCCGCTGTTGTAGAAGGTCTTAGCCAGCCAGAGCGCCTCACTCAGAGAGACCGTGATTGTGGCGACAACCTTTAGATCTGAGTGACAGATTCTTCGTCTTAGTAAATAATATGGTGGGTGTGGAGCGCCCGTTGTTGTCTAGGGTGTAGCTGGCCCTAATGCTCAAGTGTGGTCCTCCTCTTTCTTTACCTTGTGTTCTCTTCAAGTAACCAGTCATGTCTCTACTCTCTCTCTTCTGTCCTTCGTGGCATTTTGGCATCGTTGCTTTCTCTTCTCCGCCGCTATTTCTTCCTCTTTCTCCTTCTCTTCTCGTTCTCATCCTCCTGCTCTCCTCCCTTAATCTGATATATTCCTCCCATAAGTATATCCCTCCCATAACCTGATATATTCCTTCCTTAACCTGGTATATTCCTCCCATAACCTGGTATATTCCTCCCATTACCTGGTATATCTCTCCCATAACCTGATATATTCCTCCCTTAACCTGGTATATTCCTCTCATAACCTGGTATATCCCTCCCATAACCTGATATATCCCTCCCATAACCTGATATATCCCTCCCATAACCTGATATATTCCTCCCTTAACCTGGTATATTCTTCTCATAACCTGATATATTCCTCCCATAACCTGATATATCCCTACCATAACCTGATATATCCCTCCCATAACCTGGTATATTCTTCTCATAACCTGATATATTCTTCCCATAACCTAATATATTCCTCCCATAACCTGATATATTCCTGCCTTAACCTGATATATTCCTTCCATAACCTGATATATTCCTCCCATAACCTGATATATCCCTCCCATAACCTGATATATCCCTCCCATAACCTGATATATTCCTGCCTTAACCTGATATATTCCTCCCATAACCTGATATATACTGTGGTGAACCGCCTCACTGACGGCCCTGGTTCACGCCCACACATCCAATACTTCAAGTAATATTTACATGTCTTAAAGAACCACCTGGGAACATAGACTGGTGGTAGAGGACCTCCTTGGCCTCGTTACGAGTCCGTCAGTAGTTGGTGGGAGTCACTCAAGACTTGTAACAGTGTACCACCGTCTTCTACTTTGTCTTGAAGGGCAAAGGACCCTTATTTCTGTCTCCCGATTCAATCGAGATTATTAATTACTATAAACAGCCAGACATAGAGACATGAGAGAATGAAATCACATTGAGAAATGATAGAAGATATTTTCAGTTCACAATAAATTATTTATTATTTAATCTATTTAAAGATCACATATTTAACTCAAAATTAAACCAGGGGACATTTTCCTGCCTAGAATCTCTGGTATTAATTAATAAGTCCCGAAATTAATTATGGAATTAGTAGTTTCTTATTTACAGGACACGGGGGGGGGGGGGGGGGGGGGGTTCTACCAGGATACACTCCACACCGAATTCCTTCTTAAATGTAAGTCTACGCTAATAAACACCACACCCTCTCCCCTCCGTACCTTTTTTCAGGCAAGCAGCCACCATAATGCTAAAGACTCTCCCATATTGTCTCTGATGGAACACCGAGGCTCGCCCTCTTCAGGAGAGGCCCTTTCCTTACGAGGCTGAGTCTTGGTGTTCCATATACTGTTACAGGTACTCCTCGGCCTAGCCCTGATGATCAACCTAGGCCTGGCTTGGGTTAGCCAATCCCAGTGACCAGGTTCTCTTTATCCTACTCCACGTCTTTTCTCCTTCTCCTGCTGCTCCTCTTTCTCCTGCTGCTGCTGCTGCTCCTTCTGCTGCTGCTGCTGCTCCTTCTCCTGCTGCTGCTGCTCCTTCTCCTGCTGCTCCTGCTGCTGCTCCTCCTGCTCCTCCTCCTCCTCCTGCTGCTCCACACCCTCCATATCGTCAACATTCCCACCTCTCCTCTGATTAAATAATGACATTCCTGTTTTATTTGTCATAGAGGAAGAAGTATATTTTTATGAGTATAATGTCATGGTTATAAATGACTGGTCGAGTTACTGTGGAGAATTAAGCCAAAGATTTAAGCTTCGGGTACAAAAAAAAGAAGTATCTTGTCAACATTAAAAATTAGAAAGTAGCTTTGAAAAGCGGCCATATTTACTGTTTTTTTTCTTACATATATATATATATATATATTTTTCTCAGTGCCATGTTATGTATGAAGTATCAGTTAACACTGGAATGTGGTTTTAAATAATTCCAGTAAATTTAAATTTAGGTCTTGTATATTCTGTGATTGGCTGAGGATGAGCCAATCACATCTAGCGCTAAGATAGCTTATTTGCTTGTGATTGGTTCGTGTTTATTTTTGATATGATGAGAGTTCTTGATATTCCGTTGACGATGTAGCTTATTATATATACAATTATTAATTGTCGAATAACTATGCAATCGTTTAATGTTTAGAAAAGCGTATGGTTACAGGAAGGTTTATATAGAGAGCCCCAGACGTCGCCTGCAACACAACATCTTAACATTCCTTCTTACCCAACTAAACACTAATGTCGTAGGAAACAAATTACTCTGAAAGGCTTTTCAAATTATTATTAAGACAAAAGCAGAGACTAAATATATAATATATATATATATATATATATATATATATATATATATATATATATATATATATATATATATATATATATATATATATATATATATATATATATATATATGTATATATTAATGACTGTGTTGATTGTCTATCTACAAGAAGAGAAAATTAGAAAACGGCGTCATTAAATAATTGCAGTGCCATCTATTATTCGACTGGCGCACTTCCCAGAGGTGCAAGTTGCCAGTTACTGCATATTGGCCAAATCGTATTCTTTCCTCCTATTTAAAAAAAAAGATAGTGTTTTATTTAAACTGTGGATGAATACTAGTGTACATCGATGTGTATGGTGTACATCCCTCCCTCTTACCCCCCTGTGTGTACAGTCAGAAGTAAGTGTAGAGCGTTAAACATGTACAGTGTGTTTGGTGTTGCCAGTGGGAGCGCCGCAGTATTTCTGGAGGTCGGCTTGCTCACCACACGACACTGACGGCGTCGCAGCCGACGCCTCAGTAGTAGGTTCTAGCTGTGATCCTGTAGTAGCAGCTGCGCGAATGTGTGTGCGCGTATCTCTCACCACTTTATCGTTATTATATTTGGCAATACCATATCCCGTTCTTTTAAAATGCTCAAAGAAAGAAGGAAAAAATGTAATGAAAGCCCATTTGCTCATTAATCTCTGTCATATCCGTATATGTGTGTGAACTGTTGGTTCAGGGTGTCCGGACACTGGTACCACTGCCCGGCCACACCCTCGCGTGTGGACGGTGAGAGTTGAGGGTGTCCGGACACTGACACCACTGCCCGGCCACACCCTCGCGTGTAGACGGTGAGAGTTCAGGGTGTCCGGACACTGACACCACTGCCCAGCCACACCCTCGCGTGTGGACGGTGAGAGTTCAGGGTGTCCGGACACTGACACCACTGCCCAGCCACACCCTCGCGTGTGGACGGTGAGAGTTCAGGGTGTCCGGACACTGACACCACTGCCCAGCCACACCCTCGCGTGTGGACGGTGAGAGTTCAGGGTGTCTGGACACTGACACCACTGCCCGGCCACACCCTCGTGTGTGGACGGTGAGAGTTCAGGGTGTCCGGACACTGACACCACTGCCCGGCCACACCCTCGCGTATGGACGGTGAGAGTTCAGGGTGTCCGGACACTGGCACCACTGCCCAGCCACACCCTCGCGTGTGGACGGTGAGAGTTCAGGGTGTCCGGACACTGGCACCACTGCCCAGCCACACCCTCGCGTGTGGACGGTGAGAGTTCAGGGTGTCCGGACACTGGCACCACTGCCCGGCCACAACACCATATCCGGCCATGCCCTCGCCAGTGGACGGCGATTGGTCAGGGTGTTTGGACACACACGCCTCTGCTTGGACACTCATGCCCAAGTGTGAGGAACAATACTCAAGCATCCTTTTCATTCATATGTGAGGTTGAAGGGCGTTCATATGTGATGTCCTTGGGCGTTCATATGTGATGTCTTTGGGCGTTCACGTATGTGATGTCTGTTGGTGTTCAAATGTGAGGTCCCTAGGTGGTCATATATGAGATCCCCAAGAGTTCAGGTATGGGGTCCGCGGAGGTTTTCATATGTGAGGCCCTCTGGGCATTCATATATGAGGTCCCCAAAGGTTCACATGTGAGGTTCTCGGCCATTCATATAGTCCCTGGGCGTTCAGACGTGTGGTCCCCTGGTGTTCATTCAGGTTCCTGGGAGGTAATATATGATGTCCCAGGGCGTTCAAATGTGAGGTCTCCTGGCGTTCATATATGAGGTCCCCGAAGGATTAAACGTATGGTCCCGGGTCTTCACATGTGGGGGCCCCGGGCGTCCGGATAAAGTGCCGTGGCGTGGACGGGCGTGGAGGCCGGGTCGACGGACTGCCTGTACGACCCGCCACCAGAGAGTGTACCACGTGGGTGTCTACGTTGGTCTGGCTTATATTTTGGGAGAGATAGAGTTTAGTAATTTGTAAGAGTTTATTTAATAAGAGGTTTGCTGAGTGAGAGAAAGAGTTGCCCTCCCCCCCCCTTATCCTCTTATTTTTCCTTTCCTCTCCCTTTCTCACCTACCCTCTCACCCCCAATCCCTTGTATACATGTGTCAGTCATGTGATAGACAGACTTAGTGCTGTATTGGACGGACCCGTGGCGGATGGTGCGCTCACTATCCTCACACCACACTCTCTCTCTCTCTCTCTCTCTCTCTCTCTCTCTCTCTCTCTCTCTCTCTCTCTCTCTCTCTCTCTCTCTCTCTCTCTCTCTCTCTCTCTCTCTCTCTCTCTCTCTCTCTCTCTCTCTCTCTCTCTCTCTCTCTCTCTCTCTCTCTCTCTCTCTCTCTCTCTCTCTCTCTCTCTCTCTCTCTCTCTCTCTCTCTCTCTCTCTCTCTCTCTCTGTCTCTCTCTCCCCACCCCATGTGTGTGAGGGAGTGAGGGCTCCGCCGGGCGCCACAGGTCCAGGTCGTCCTCCACCCGGGTGCTAGTCGCCCGGAACACTAGGAGTAAGTGGGCAGGTTAGACCACCTCCCCTAGTGGTGATGTGTAGTCGCCTCCTCCCCCCCGTAGCGCACCTACACCCTCTCCCTCCGGCGTCATATCTCCACGTGTGTCTACGTAGCAGTGATAAAACAAACAAACTAGACCAGAAACTTAAGAGAGGCTGTAATGGAGGAATTAAGACACCCAACCGTCCGAAAAATAAATTGTCAGGACGTCTTCGAACGACGGGTTGGAGTGTGCTTGAGAGAAAGCGCCGTTGGTTAGAATACTTTTGCATCATTTCGAGGTCGTTTGGCCAAGACAACTGTGATTGCTAGTACCTGCGGAAAGTGGTAGGGATAACTGGGCAGTGAGCACAGTCTTGGGCACGGGGCAGTAACCTGGGCACTACCAACAAATGTCTTGCCTTAAGCCATAAGGTGGACGCCACTGCCAGAGGCTTGAGGTACTGATGGCGGGTTTAAGGTATCTGAAGAAAGAATAGGAATATAATATTTTTATGAGGCGTGTGGATGATTGTCTGTTGCCGTGGCGGTGTGGATGATTGTTGTCATGGCGGTGTGGATGATTATTGCCGTGTCTGGATGATTGTTGCTGTGGTTTGGTGGATGATTGTTGCCGTGGCGGTGTGGATGATTGTCTATTGCCGTGGCGGTGTGGATGATTGTCTATTGCCGTGGCGGTGTGGATGATTGTCTATTGCCGTGGCGGTGTGGATGATTGTCTATTGCCGTGGCGGTGTGGATGATTGTCTATTGCCGTGGCGGTGTGGATGATTGTCTATTGCCGTGGCGGTGTGGATGATTGTCTATTGCCGTGGCGGTGTGGATGATTGTCTATTGCCGTGGCGGTGTGGATGATTGTCTATTGCCGTGGCGGTGTGGATGATTGTCTATTGCCGTGGCGGTGTGGATGATTGTTGCGGTGGCGGTGTGGATGATTGTTGCCGTGGCGGTGTGGATGATTGTTGCGGTGGCGGTGTGGATGATTGTTGCGGTGGCGGTGTGGATGATTGTTGCCGTGGCGGTGTGGATGATTGTTGCCATTGCGGTGTGGATGATTGTTGCCCTAGCGGTGTGGATGATTATTGTCATGGTGGTGTGGATGATTGTTGCCGTGGTGGTTTGGATGATTGTTGCCCTAGCGGTGTGGATGATTATTGTCATGGTGGTGTGGATGATTGTTGCCATGGCGGTGTGGATGATTGGTGCCGTGGTGGTGTGGATGATTGTTGCCATAGCGGTGTGGATGATTGTTGCTGTGTCTATGGATGATTGGTGCCATGGCGTTGTGGATGATTGTTGACGTGGTGGTGTGGATGATTGTTGCCATAGCGGTGTGGATGATTGTTGCCGTGGTCGTGTGGATGATTGTTGCCATAACAGTGTGGATGATTGTTGCCGTGGTGGTGTGGATGATTGTTGCCCTAGCGGTGTGGATGATTATTGTCATGGTGGTGTGGATGATTGTTGCCATGGCGGTGTGGATGATTGGTGCCGTGGCGGTGTGGATGATTGTTGCCGTGGTCGGGTGGATGATTGTTGCCATGGAGGAGTGGATGATTGTTGCCGTGGCGGTGTGGATGATTGTTGCCATGGTCGGTGGATGATTGTTGCCATGGCG